CATAAGATATCATGCATAGCATTATGCAGGTACAGTACACACAGCAAAGCTATTTTTATGGCGTTCTCTTTGAAAGCAGCAGAAAAAAAAAGGACACGAAAGAGCACGGAGAATGATATCACATCAATTCATTTAGTACTTTTGTGGCCTTTGCTGATTTGAAAGCGCTGTCAAAGAAACGTCGAGCTTCATTTCCTTGTTTCACAATGTCAAGTAGAAGTGTCGTGAGAACTCGAAATTAAATCTTAATTAAATTCTTTCTTGTACTTGATTCTTTAACTGTTTTCCACACGCCAACTCTTGAAGGGTAGTCTATATGAGACTTAGTAATCAAGATTTAAACTAAAGTTATAGAGAATGGAATTTCTTACTTTATATTTACTATATATCTAATTGGGCACTTTATGATTGCTAATTTAAACTTGTGTTATACACTTCCATCTTGTGCTACTGCCACAAAACATTGTAGTAATGACTGCTCCATGTGCAAAATTAATGAACCGATAAAGCCAATTGTCTAACAACATCTAACGATCGTTCATGAGTTCTAAGACGAAGGAATTATGAAGGTGGAAACTTTTTCTGCAAGTATTAGTGCAAAAGTATTTTGATTGTTTGAAAACAAACAATAACGGATCGTTGTCTATCTCAACCCATGTGTAATAAGTCTGTTTAACTGAAAATTGAAGGATTTAATATTTTTCGCATCTATTAGATAACTAGCCCGCAGACTTAATGCAATTAATATGCATATTTGGTCATACATTATAGCAAAATATATGTTTTACTATTACTTATGACTAATTTTAAAAAAATTTTTCGATGTTAAAATATCATCTTTTTGTACTTTCAATAATTTTAATTTTAATTTTAACTTATTTCATTGTAATGAAATAAGTGAATAATTTATTTCAAATTACTTTTTCTGTATATTGCGTTTGAATTCATAAATATTCGACTCTTCATGAATTCAATTCATTTGTTCTTCACTTCAGATTCCCATATAAGCCTAATCTTCGATACAATTATGCTTTTGAAAGAATCATACCGAACACGCAATTGGAGATGATTTGTTTATTGACTAAAACAGAAAATTCTTTCAGCATTTTAGAATATATGCCCAACAGTAGCGTGCCGTGACATTTGATGACAGGAAAGCTGTGTTTCTATAAGAAGCCGACTTCCAGGGGCAATCAGTCAGCAATGGTCTAGGGTCCATTCGTATTCGTTAGTTCGATAAACCAGTAAAAACCGTAGAATTCTCTAAATGTATTTTTAATTAATAGATTATCTAACGCACTTAATAAATAAGCGAGTTCAATATAATTAACTCTCTTATATTAGATTTAATAGATTCTCTACGCCCTTTAAATGACAATTCTCGCTTCGATAACATCTACTAATTAAAATATATCTATTAGCCGTAACTATCTCGTTATAATTTTCAATATTTATTTTATATTGTGTACTAATGTTAAATTCTATTCTATTTTGATTTCCAAATTGCTTCAATTTTACGAAAGAATCGATGCGAGATTTAGGATTTTCGTGTCTTTTGCCAGCTTTACTCAAATTATTTAAATCGTCAAAGCCAATCTCATTCCACACACTAATTTTATTTGAAAATAGTAGGCAAGGCCAACAAAACAAATTTTGCATTTTTATGCATCCACAAAGCCATTTTATATCTTCATAAATTTTATCATGAAAATGTCGAACAAATTTTTTCTTTTTCATTATATGGTCTCGAGCCAAAACTTTTTGAAATAAATTTTCGATATCACAATTACATTCTAAATTGCTAGCTATAATATAAGGGCTAAAATTAAAAATAAAATTATAAAAACTTACTTGTTAAAATAAAATGTGTGATGATATACAATTATACATACCTGGTACAAAATATTCAATTGTATGAATATACTATTAAAGACAATTATAAATATAGTTTTGTGAAGAAACGTACATAAAAATAACATAAAATAGTCTTTACTTTTTAAATATTAAAACAATCCACCTAGTTAAAATTGCTTCCTACCAGTGGCTCGTGGATGGAATCAGAGACGGTCTTGGTAGGTGTGCGGTGCGTGCAGTTTGCCAAATCTCCAGGGTGCCGATACCGGTTAATGTCTCTTTTGTCTCATCACTAGTATCTCTCAAAGGACGCAACAGGGTTGTTGTAAATTTTAAATGTTTCTCACCATAGCTGTAAAAATCTAAATTTCCAAAATTTACAACTTTTACTCACTTTCATTGAACTGGAAAAATGTCTGTCTTTATTACATCTAATATTACGAAGAAATCAGTTCACACTGTACTCGGTTAAGCTTTTGTTTAAGTAAAATTCCGGCTCATTCAGCAGAGTTTTATTTGTGTCCCCACTTCCCTAATCGTTTAATTATTTAACTACTTCTTAAGTAGAAATAAGTCGAAACCGGTTACTTTGTACTCGAATATTTGTAGTCTTGGGAAAAAAGTGGAGAGACAAATTTTTACGACAACGGATACATAAATCATAAATTTAAGGAAAATAAATTCTAAAGCTTTTTCTGTACCTCGTGCATCTCTCTCATTCATTAAATTTAGTCGTAAATGACGCTGTCGAAGTAACGGTTAATTTTTTAACGTTATACAAGATTCGTGCACGTTTTTTTCTACATCCCCTTAAAGATGGGACATACGAAATCGTAATATCACCGGTTTAACATTGAAATCCGTAAGTAATATAAAATGGGAGAGCGGAATAAAAATATCAAATATTTTAATGGATTTTTCAATTAAACTCCTGTCAACTATACAGAACTATCGTAAAAACATACCAGTAAATTCTTATCGGTTGGGTTAAGTTATAAATCTACTCGTTATTCACGTAATCGGGCGAGGGCAGCCAAATATCTAGCGGGTGGGCGGCTAAAAGTCCGGAACCGATCCCGGATAGAATTGGAAGCGTTATATGTGTAGCATCAACCCGAGATCGTAAGCTTCCACCGGCTAAACCGTGTGATGTTGGTGCTCCGTACAGCGCGTGCGCGAATCTCGCTTTTTGGAATCTGACAATACAGAGATTCCACTCCGCCACTATTATTCGAATATACAATAGAAATTTTTTTCCACGTGTAGTATAGAAATTTGTAATAAGATACGTAATGCGGTTATAATAAAATATTGTGCGATTATTTTCGTATAATTAAAATTAATAAGTATTNGTCGGAAACCGTCGACTCTCCCTTTTCGGCAACAGGTCGTTAAACCTACTCACTTGTCAAGATGGCTAAATTTCGGAAACAGTCCCGAAGGGTCGGGATACTTTTTGTCAGGTCGAGTGGAGGAGGTGAGAGGGGTCGTCGACGAGGCGTAGACGATATACGAGTAAAAGGACACCATTTAACAATGAAACAACGATTTATTAGACTAACGAAAAAAAATGAAGGTTACAAAATCTAACATGGGGAAATGAATTTATCTCACTATTAGCTCCTAACTCGCGGAGAGTTTACAATTATTTGTTCATACCTCTAGTTTACCTCCACGTAGGTGGGAAAAATTTAGTTTTTTTTTGTTGGTGATCAATGCACACAGTTCGACGCACAAAGTTAAAGTTTTTCGGAGACTTAATTAATCCTTCTAGACCGTAGATGTCAGACTCCCCCGATGATGGGGAAAGAAGTCGCTTTTATAGCTTCGGACTGGAAAATTCAGTCAGGTGATCTCCTATTGTGTGAGATAGAGTTGGTCCTGCAGGTATAGAGGTCAAAGTTGTTCCCGGGACCAAAACAAAATGACGAATTCGGACTTTAACTATAAACTTTTTGTCTTGCAGCAGAGGAATGTCATTGTTCGAGGGTTGAATGTTTATATTAACGATGAAAGTTATAAGTTTCGATCGATATATGATTCTTTTTCCTGACAATGTTATTTTAACGAGGAGGCGACAAATTTATTTTAAATACATCGAAAATTTAGGGAGAAAATGAACAATTTTGGGCTTATTCTGAGGTCGGATCTCACAAGATAGAAATGTGTGCACCGACCATTAGGCGGCGCAGAGCACTGCATTAGCAAATTTTCTTACCTAGTTAATTAATCTGTGCGACCTGGCGTACGAACTAACTAACTATTAGAATTACGTTATCACTCAAGTCATCATTAATCGAATCGTTTTGCAGTATGTTATAAAAGTCTCTTTACAATTTAGTATAAAGGTAACGTGTTTAATATATTTCATTTTGTTTCATTTCTTTTATTAATTATATNATGCTAGTCAACATACGTCAGACCTCTGTGTAAGTCAAATAATACATACAAATGAACATATCAGACAATACAGAAATGAGTAAAAATAAATAATGAATAACAGTAAATTGTGAAATAAATAACTCAAAAATATATAGTAGAAATGAGGCAATTATGATCTAACAAACTTATTTTTTACAATGTATTTCCATCCCGTTCCTAAACTATCGGCATCACTGCAAGGGAGTGTACAGACTTAATGATGTTTGCTCTTCCCATTTTATCACTGAGCTCTCAATCTGCGCCATCCTGGATAGTACTGTGGTAATGGATCTATTTCTTATATTATATTGGTATTCTTTAAGTCTAATTTTGAAGTTCCTTGTGGTGACACCGATCTAAAGAAAATGTGTTAATTAAACATGAACGGGCATGTAAAAAAGAAGGGATAGAAATGTGTGCACCGACCATTAGGCGGCGCAGAGCACTGCATTAGCAAATTTTCTTACCTAGTTAGTTAATCAGTGCGACTTGGTGTACGAACTAACTATTAGAATTACGTTATCCCACAAGTCATCATTATTCGAATCGTTTTGCAGTATGTTATAAAAGTCGCTTTCCAATTTAGTATAAAGGTAACGTGTTTAATATATTTCATTTTGTTTCATTTCATTTATTAATTATATAGATAAAGTAAGAAAAAAATAATTAGGTTATATTAATGTTAACTGTTGTATCCAGGGTGGCCAAACTGCTGTAATGGACTCTTCTAAACTATTATTGAGGTTACCGTATACTTGTAACTACAGTTTATTTTTATACTTGAGACATACTACTTACACATATGTAATTTTTTTAATCAGTTTTTTTGATTATTTTGAAGATGGTATACATACGAATTGTAAGCGTAACTTAACCTGCATCAGACAACTGAAAGCTACGGGAACGTTTGTATGAATTGAATTTTAAACAGATAGTGTTCCAATTTCAAACTCACAAACCCTCTACCAGTAAGTGATAAAGGGAAAACTATTTAGATAAAAAGGGAAAAAATTATTTATAATAAACCTATTTTCTTAAACTGTTTTTAGTTCGCCTTTCTTATACAGCAACCAAAACGTAAGCATTTTTAATGTGATATAACAGTGATAATTTATAGTAACTTGTTTTAAATAAATAAATGAATATATATGTATTATATATTAACCCCAAAATGGCGTTATTTGCAATTCGCCGTCCCGAGCATCCCTTTTAGTTTCGACATGAACGAAATAATGAAATTTTTTCAGATGTACCGCTGATATAGAATTTTTTAAGGAAAAATTTAATAATAATCTATATCGAGAAATGTAAGAATTTAGCTTCTGCCCACAGCAATAAACTAGTTTTTACTTGTGTACTTCCGTCTAGAAATCATTTTTTTTTTTCAATTGCAATGTTTTCTAGTAGCATGTGAATGGAGAGCTAAAGTGCCCTATATTCTATAATGCAAAAAAAAATTTGTCACCCATGTTCTTGGAAAGTAAAATCTTTTTTGAAGATTTGCTTATTAGTACAGGATACTTTATACTTACCTTAAATCCGGCATGCAATAATAATCTAACTGTGCACCGGAATGAGAGTGAACAAATAAAAATCATTACAACTTCACAGCACTAGGATATAATTGAAAAACCGCATTTAAAACTGTTGTAAAGCCACATCTTACATTGATTAGTTTGCAATAATTGTCAGACTGAGCAATTAATTTTTAATTTCTGATTTTTAGCATTGGTACTGTAATATTATAGTGAAGTATTTTTTAATTTTATTTTATCGGTACTATTCTTCGTTCTGAATTTAATTGCTACTTCAGGCTGGCTTTAAAAATCGTCAACAAAGTATATTTTAATAAATATAAATTTCCGGAGAAGTGATAAAAATCGAAACGAATGCGATACTGACAGAATTTTTATGAATAGTCAATTAAATTTAGGTTATCGATTTAAGATAAATTACAGAAGCACGTATAAAAAACATGATGTTTAGTGTCTGACATTTTCCTTCAGGATAATTTGAGAGATGTAATAATATAATTAGGCTAAAGAAAAATGAGTGAAGTTTCATCAAAAGTATTTGGTCTATATGTAATACTGTACGTTCTATTTTTCCATACCGCATGTCTACGTATAACACTTCTTATAGATCTTCTTAACTTCATAGTGTTTGACGTACTTTCTTCTCGTAAAAAACATCTGAGGTAGTTCATGTCATGTCCTAACATTTCAGCTCTTTTTGTAAGTTCAGCTAACTTTATATCCATTTCTATTTTTCTGAATTTTTCACTATATAACTGGATTGCTGTATATTAGATCTCTATGTAATACATATTACATAGAGATCTAATATACAGCAATCCAGTTATATAGAAAAGTATTTAGTTTTGTTATTTGTATAGTATTTAATACAGTAGAACTTTGTTAATCTGGCAAATACAGGATCAGATTGGTGCTGAATTACCGTAAAATTTTGTATTTTTGCAAAATTCGATAAGTTATATGCAATTTGAAAGTTGCAAATTTTGTGATAATACATGCTGTTATATGCTTTCGACGTTTTTATACAATTTAATTTTTGTTATTCAATATCCAGCGGCCATTACATATCCATACATTCCAGTATCCATAGATATAAGATTATATAATATAATATTTTCCAGAAAAGATTATTAATTACAGATCATTCAATAACTGATTTAGATTTCGAATTTGCCGAAACGCAGTGGAGTAGAAGGTTCTCAGACCTTATGCAAATCTAATTTAAACTGATATCCATAATGAATAACATTCACACTAATCTTAACCAATAAAAAGTAAATGATATGAAATATAGTTTATTATATAAACTATATTTCACTAGGTTGCATATCATTATTATATATAATTTTAATACCAGCGTATAAGCCGTTATCGATTATGTTGGCACTCGCAGCTTAAAATCTGTAACTTTACAAGAAAAAGCGTATGCGGGGCGCTGTACGTCTATGAATTATTTTACGGCTCGCATTCAGAAAAAATTGCTCATTACCGCTTTAAAGGTTTAGGTTTATTTCGTTACGGTAACGTAACACGTATGGCTTCCTGGAGGACTTTTTTGGGAAACCGGCCTTTATTTAGATGTTACAAACGTGAAGAAAACCTAGACCAACCCGTTGGCGAGCTAATACACGATCGATTCCCAATGTTCAATGGTTTTATCCAAACGGCCACTGGTGTGCCCTCTGCTTTAATGCATACCATAAAAATAATTACTTTGTCATGATAGAAACAAAATTATGCTGACAATTCAGTATCTTTATCATTATCGTCAGATTCTCTACTGCTTCTACAACTACTTCAAGAAGCTTCAAGCAATTTGAGAACTTCATTTTTCAGTTTGTATTCTGCCTTTGATATTAGTTGGCTGATAAATTATAACTAGCTATTAATCGTTTCGATTGCTTAGTTTTCTGAGTATTTTCTCCAGTAATCTTTGGAAAATTTTATTGCGTGCCTCCTGAACATCTCTGATGGAAACATCAGAATGGAACTTCAATTACATCCGTGGACAAGGATTATAAATACAGTTGCAGGCATAAGATATCATGCATAGCATTATGCAGGTACAGTACACACAGCAAAGCTATTTTTATGGCGTTCTCTTTGAAAGCAGCAGAAAAAAAAAGGACACGAAAGAGCACGGAGAATGATATCACATCAATTCATTTAGTACTTTTGTGGCCTTTGCTGATTTGAAAGCGTTGTCAAAGAAACGTCGAGCTTCATTTCCTTGTTTCACAATGTCAAGTAGAAGTGTCGTGAGAACTCGAAATTAAATCTTAATTAAATTCTTTCTTGTACTTGATTCTTTAACTGTTTTCCACACGCCAACTCTTGAAGGGTAGTCTATATAGGACTACCCTTCAAGATTTAAACTAAAGTTATAGAGAATGGAATTTCTTACTTTATATTTACTATATATCTAATTGGGCACTTTATGATTGCTAATTTAAACTTGTGTTATACACTTCCATCTTGTGCTACTGCCACAAAACATTGTAGTAATGACTGCTCCATGTGCAAAATTAATGAACCGATAAATCCAATTGTCTAACAACATCTAACGATCGTGCAAGAGTTTCAAGACGAAGGAATTATGAAGGTGGAAACTTTTTCTGCAAGTATTAGTGCAAAAGTATTTTGATTGTTTGAAAACAGACAATAACGGATCGTTGTCTATCTCAACCCATGTGAAATAAGTCTGTTTAACTGAAAATTGAAGGATTTAATATTTTTCGCATCTATTAGATAACTAGCCCGCAGACTTTATGCAATTAATATGCATATTTGGTCATACATTATAACAAAATATATGTTTTACTATTACTTATGACTAATTTTTAAAAATTTTTCGAAGTTAAAATATCATCTTTTTGTACTTTCAATAATTTTAATTTTAATTTTCAGTTATTTTATTGTAATGAAATAAATGAATAATTCATTTCTGATTACTTTTTCTGTATATTGCGTTTGAATTCATAAATATTCGACTCTTCATGAATTAATTCAATTCATTTGTTCTTCACTTTAGATCCCCATATAAGCCTAATCTTCGATACAATTCTGCTTTTTAAAGAATCATACCGAACACGCAATTGGAGATGATTTGTTTATTGACTAAAACAGAAAATTCTTTCAGCATTTTAGAACATATGCTCAACAAATTAATTGTCGCAAGACGTTACCGTTATTAATAAACACTGTCACACATGTCAATTAAATTGGCCAAGTACTGTATATCAAAAGAAAAATTTTCACATTTAACAATTTTAAATCAATTTTAACTTTCAATTTTAATTTTAAATTAATACAAAAAGCATCTTTATAGCATGTGATATATTATAATTATTACGTATAGGACTATATATATTTTTGCGATTTTGTAGTTTTAATCTGTATTGTATAAAACTTATATCTTTATGATAAGCAAATGTCAATGCACTATTATCATCAACTTAGGTTTATCGCTTTGACATTGATCAAAAGTAAATTGGACATCCGTATTGAAGAACATAAAGTATTCAAGATGTTGCCAATAATAATATTATTGACTGTTTTCGTGTATCTTCTATCACTTTGGATAAGGTGAGCATTCTTTATTTATTTATTCTTATTTATCTTTCTTTCACAGATATAAATTAAATAACTTTGTAAGATAAATATTAATCACAATAACTTCCTTCAAGTGGTGATGAGAAAAATTATTTAGATAAATAATTTATATTAATCAGAGACAAAGTAATTTAATTCATCGTTTTTGAAATGTATAAATTTATAGTTTTTTAAATTTATGAATCTGTTTTTTTAATTATAATTCGATCATATCTGTAAGGATCAAAAGAAATTTCTTAATATGCATTTTATTCGTTTCTTAATCCCATGCGGATTGCCCTCGAAAAGCCAGACACTGATGAGATAAACACTTGATAACGGCTATGACTCTTTCTAATACATCACACCATTGTTTTTTTTTCTAATTCTAATAGTCTCAGTTGCATTTGATTTACAGTAGTTTTATTTTTTAACATATTATTCAATTGTACCCACGATTTCACATTCATAGCTTCTGGATTTAACGCTGTGCTTGTTGAAGCTACGTAAATATTTTCTTGACACTCCGTTTCCTTATTTTCTGGCATACTTAAAAATTTCATTATAGAACACGCCAGTTTTTCTTTCTGTACCTCCTTTTCTCGTTTTTGCTGTCGAAATTGCGATCCTGAAAGTTTTTACTTTTCTGCGGTTCCTGAAATTTGTCATAAACTGTAAGTATGTTTTAAAATTTTTAATACAACAATATGCAAACATAATCAATTAAAAGAAGAACTGTCAGGAATAAGTAGGCTTTTCTAGTTTACGAATAATAATCGACCATGTAGTTGAGTCTGTAAAAAGTTCATAGAAATTCCGTATAAATGAACTTCAAAATTAACTTTGTATTTTTAAAATACATCGAGTTTTGCCTCAGATGTCTTGTAAGAATTTTGTATAGCCTGTACTGTCTACGGAACCCTACCATGTGCGTGGTCAGACTGAGAGTGGGACGTTATATTTGCTCTGTCTGTTACTTTTGATATTATTAAACTGATTCGTTTTTGCACCGGAGATTAGTTACATGTATTTAAAGCTTAGTTTATAAAGTTAGAAAATTTTGACCGATGCTTTAGGTATAGGGTAGTTTAGGTAGGTATTTGCAAAAACCGCATGAAAAAGCTTGATTATAAAATGAAAGTTATTGTGATAAGCCGATAAATTAACTTAGGTACTTACCATAATTACGATTTTTTTGCACTTTTACGAGGTATTTAGCACTGACAAATGATACATTAAATTATAATCACACTAACCGAGTTAAAATATCATTAATTATACCTAGACTCATGTCAGAAGAATTATTAACAAAATAATTTCAATTTGATATGCCATAGAACTGTTGGAATGCGTACAAGTACAAATTAAGAAGGAAGCTCTGTGGGGATTCACTAATTTCGCCAGTTCTGTCAACTTCTGTCACAGAGCACGACTATGGGTACTTGGCTTTTGGGCACCGCCGGATGGTTCAACCTGCCGACAGACGTTTCGCATTGCATCTTAGTTCTGATAAATGCCAATAGATGGCGCTGTTAACGCTATAATATAAATAAGAAGATAGTAATTGCGCGCCGGTCGGAGTTTTTCTCCATGCGAAGACATTTTTTATGCTATAGGTAGGGTGGGTATTATGACAATGACTTTGAATATTACGTAATCGATCGCTCGATTTTCCGCCGCCGCCCCCTGGACGTGCGTGAAAATGTCGGGCTTCGTTTTATAAACGAAGCCCGACATTTTCAATAGAACTGCGAAAAAGGGAAAAGGTCAGATGGGGAATTTGACCTATCATTCTGACGACTGTAGGAACAACAAAAAGACAATTTTATTTTAAAGATCTTGCCAAGCACTGCAGCTGGAAATCATTAGGGACAGAAAGGAAAACACCGTACAATGAATTATGAATAAAAGTTCCTCAGTTAAATAAACATTTCCGGCCGAGGCCGTGGATTCGATGATAAATAAGCCCTGAAAACAGAACAAGTACCAATCGGAAAGTGAGGAGAAGAGACCGATACCAACCAGTGTTAGAACTGAGGGACAAATCTTTAGAAAGTTTAGTAACTCTAAACTTTTATAAACTCGGTTGGTGACTTGCCACGAGAATCCGTTTACCGCTTGCTCTCTCTGTCGAGCATTCCGTTCCTATTCGTCTTGAACAGTGAGTTTACCTCGATCTCCTTGCTGGAACGAGATGTTAACACGTTTTTCCTTAAATCTCCCAACCTTCATTCGTGAAGAAAACTTCGTCCACCTCTGGAGATGGACGAAGTTTTCTTCGCGATATCCTCGCATTTTCTTTACAATATTCTATATAAAAACCTTAAAATGACAATTTATATAATTTCTAAACTTTAATAAGTATAACCCAGATGGATTAAAAATGTAATAAATCTATTCTGAATGCTAAAGCGAAATAAAACTCGATAGTGTTTCACCAATATATACATACATTGAGAAATACAGAAATATTTTGATAATTTCGACATGATAATATCAGATAAAGCGCAAGCAAGAATCAACCAAGAGTTTAGAGTTAAAAAAACGCTTACAGCATAATGTGTAACGTTCCTATGATTTACACGGTTCCAGTTGCCGAGTCATCAGCCGATTCGTCACGAACTGCTTCGTTTATGTTAGTCTATAATTTATATTAAATCTCTTACTGAATCATAAATCGATTTGTCGGAAAATTACCTCGCATGTCCTTAGTCTTATCGTAGATTAAGTGAACTTTTCAGATAAATTTGCTTTATAGGTTAGTCAGTCTGGTTGACGTGTAATGCTGGATATATACGTACCTGATACTAGATACATACGTATTCAAGTAGGCCTATACCTGGCACTTACACTTCTACGTGTAGATGTAAAAAAGTACTGACAGTTCTGTCATGCACACGTTCAGTATACCGGACAGGCATGCCGTTTAGGTACACACGTACTGTACCTGTATACCTGCCAGGTACAGTACGTGTGTACCAGACTTTAGACACTAGTGACGAAATTATTTTAATTAAAGACCACTAAATCCATAGAGAGAGAAAAAAATGATCGATTAATTTCGCATGTAATTTATGTTTTAAATACTTTTGAATGTTTTCTGAAGTTAAACAATTAGTATAAAAAATTAAATTATCTCTTAATTATTTATTAATTATCAATTCATGTAATTTAATCAAATTTTGAAATTTGAAGTACAGTATTTATATTGCATTTACGATATTCTATACTTCAACTTTTATATTGTAATTTATTTTTTAAACAAATTTTCAAGAATAATTTAACAGTAATTAATTTTATATTTTCTATGAGTGATTTATAATATTATTTTACATTATATAATTGATAAAACGTTTAAAATATAATTAAACGTTATCAGATTTTCTCAATACAAATGAAAACTTAATGCTTAACGTTACTAGATGGAGAAAAAGAAAGATGAGCCTGTTTCAAAGATATGGAATTTCTGGGCCTAATCCCAATTTCATTACTGGAAATGCAATGGAATATAATAGAAAAGTAATCATTTGTTTTATTCACTGATCAATTCTGAGTTTTAAGATTAAATATTTATGCAATTTGTCTTATTTACAGAGGAACAAATGCATTGATGAATGGATAGAAAAATATGGAAATATTTTTGGGTAAAATTATTCCTGCAAATATTACTTTATTCTTATTATTTTATATAATATCAATAAAATAAAGCTGCTCATCAGTGGCCAAGCGGTCTTCTTACCCTGAACACTGGGAGTTCCCCAGCAAGTTCGTGCCTCGCTCGAACGGGCTGACCACGTGGAGTTTTCCGGGTTTTCTCCACGTCTGTAACGCTTAAATAGGGGCCAGTTTCCCTTTTTCTTTAAAAAGACCTCCCGAAAGACATCGCCTAAGTATTGCGTTGCCTTAACTTAATCAACAACAACAGTAAAATAAAACAAGCATATCATTCCTATATGATTACATAAAATATTAATTTTATTGATAATTATGTATAACATTCAATAAAATTGCTAAATATCGTATTTAATTTTAAATTCTGGCTGAAATTTAATAAACGTTTAATTTACAATCTTTCATAGTAACTCATAATAAATTTAATTAAATGAGCACCTGTCAAGTTTCCAGGTTTTATGTATATAACATGAAAAAGTATTGTAACTGTGTCAAATTTAAACTTTAGGCTTTTTTGCAAATTCTGACGTTTTGAAATGTTTAAACCGAAAAATGTGAAAAATGGGGAAATACCTCAGGATGAAGGAAAGCTTAAGAAACGAAATTTAAAATGGTAACTTTATATATAAGTGGCATTGAGTACTATTAAATTTTTGCGCTTAAAGGTCGAGGGGGTCATGTGTCATGTGTTGAGTGTGGTCAGACATAATGAAAATTTCTCTTTTTTCGTATTTATAGTTTTCAGAAAACTTATCTCTACCCGCAGGTGAAGTCTGTTACTTTTTATAATAATTAATAATATAAAAGTTATTTTTTAATAACATCTGATAGCATATAGCACTTTACACAATTTTTTAACTTTGTGCTAGTGTCAGTGTTTTTTTGCGGGGAAGTTCATTGTTGGATTTTTACATATTCAAAGGTAACATGTAAAATCAAAATTAACTGTCACAATGTTACAAATGTTGGCAAATGTGTTAATACTAACTCTAAGCAACTGCGAACACAACGATAAGATTGAAAGAAGCACAAATAAAACATCTAGTGGAGTTAAACAATATATAGAGAGAAGACGAAACAAAGACATTTTAATAATGATATATTGTGTGTGTGTTTTTTAGGGTGAACATTTTGTCTTGGCAATTTTACAAATGAATCAGTCTGTTTCACTGATATTATCAGAAATGGTTTTTTGTATTTTCATTTCGATAATCGTCCGACTACCTAGAATTTTTCGGTTTTATTGTAGAAGCTCGAAGAGAAAAAGAGATTTAACGTATCTTAAAGATTATGAACAATGTTTCATTCCACGAAACTATAGAAATTTGTGGTGTTTTTCAGTTTCTATAAATATCATCTAGAGCTTTTGCCACTATACTCTGCAACTTTATCTCATAAATTTTTAATGGCAAAAACTGTAGCAATCAACTGAAATTCCTATATAAGATCCGCACATTTTAATTCAACGATAACATGTATTGATTAAACATATTATTATTATATGTGAAATCCGGGTCAGATTTAATTCTATAGTATACTTCACGTTTGTTTTTCTGTATAAGAATTTTTACTGTATACTGATAAATATTACTTTAATGCTATACAGTGTTTTGTTTTTCATATACAGTGGAACCTCGGTATACGACCTTAATCCGTTCCTGGTGTTTGGACTTATACCGAATAGGACGTATACCAAACCAACCTTTTCCATAAGAAGTAATGTAAAAATGATTAATCTGTTCTCATGTAAAATAAAATGGCTGGCTTTAAACACCTGACTTTCCTCGCTAGTTTCTGCTTGATTTTTCATGAGATCAGCGTGTATCCTTTTAACTTTCTCGCAAATAATTTCTTCCGATACGCTGTCGCCGGCACACTGTTTTTCAGTTATCCAAAGCAAAAGAATTTCTCGACATGATCTAATGTCTTTGATCTCTGTTTAGAAATTGATTTAACCCCTTTCGCAACGTTATCAGATTTAATAATGTCTTTATTTTTCACGATTGTCGATATCGTCGTTCTCGGAATACGGAATGCAACAGTTAAATCTCGTTAAATCTCGAACACGCGTGCCACCTTCATATTTCTCAACAATCTCTTTTTTCAGTTCCG